CGTGAATAATGTCGCTAAAATCATCAAAATACCAAAAATAGGGAGGTACCATTATATGGGGGCTATACGGAGACGTGAACCTGCACAGACAATTTTCGGTCATAGGCTATAGTATCCATTACGAACTTTAAATACCAAATTTGAAACAATTCCGGTGAATAATGTCGCTTAAATCACCAAAATACCGGAAATAGGGAGGTGCCATTATATGGGGGCTATACCAAAACGTGGACCTACATGGCCACCATTTTCAATACCAAAAGTCCTGCAGACATATTGTATATTTGAGTAAAATTTTATCAACCTACTTCATTTCGTTCGGAAGCTAGAGTGATTTCCACAGACGGACAAACAGAATTTTATGCTGATCAAGAATATATATACCTTGTGCGGTCTAAAATGTATATTTCGAGGTGTTACAAACGGAATGACTAACTTAATGTATCCTCCATACCATGGCAGAAGAATACAGGTAGATGCATCAATGCTCGGGAGCATTGATATGTCAAAAAATTTTTAATATTTTTTCAAATATAAGTAGATTTTTATATGCTTCCTTATACGACCATATTTACAAATTTAAATGATTTTTCATTCAACTTTTTCAATTCCAAAATTGGTTTGACAGTGCATTGTCCCAGCAGCTGTGTCGATGCGTCTACCTATATTCTTTTACCATGGTACATACGTACTTTTTCGATCACAGCGTGCCCTATTTTCATGAGAAAATATAATTTAATGAAATGTGTAGTTTGTTTGTTGTGTGAAAATACATACAATTAAATTTTCGATAAAAATCTATACATAAATTATTATAATTTTTTATAAAATTACAATATAAACACAATGTAACCAAAAGACATAAAAAAACATATGCCAGTGTATAATAGCAAAAATTATGAGTCATACGTAAAATGACAATTTTGACATACACATAGAAATACACATGGATAATAAAAGTATCAGCCATTAGGTCTTGTAATTCCTTAAGTGTGAACACAGTCTAACTTTAACTACATATTTGCCAACTAACGCACTTCTTCATTGCAGAGTTCTTTAGTTACAGAGATAACTTTATTTCTATTAATTTGTTTTGTTTGTTGTAGTCTTTAGTTTAAAAATTCTTTACAATACCCCCTCAAAGTACACCCCTGCACATTCCCATTTTCAAATTAAAATCTGCCTATTTTTTAATTTGTTTAGCAAATGTTTGCCTGGGGATTAAAAAAACAGCGTCTTTCATTCCATGGGGAATAGATCATTTTATTTCCACATTTTAACTTCAAAAAACAAAAAAACTCTGCCTAAATGTGATAAATTATTTTGAAGAATGCCATATTGCCCCCATTGTCCCCAGAGACAGAGAGGGAGAGAGTGACAGTTATTTGATATTTGCCATTTGGCAATTGGCATCATGGACGCAACGCATAGGCTAGTCGGTTGACTGACTAATCAAATGGTAAAACAAGAACACAAACAAACAACAACAACATTTTCATTTATACAATTCACTTTTGTTGTTATGCCCTGGAAAAAAAATTCGGACTATCAACATTCTTTGCTTAAAAATTTCGTGCAAAATATTCTCACATTGCATATTTTTAGGAGTAATGTAAATATTCGTTTTGCATGGAATGCTTTTATTTATTATCATTATCATCGTCGTCGCCATCATCAGCCATCAGCCAACAAACAAAAATTTTAATGTTCACAAATAACAACAACAACAACCCAACTAAAACAATATAATTAGTCCTGTTCTTGTTGTTCCTTTTTGTGCAAGAAATTCTCATTGCATTACTGACGTCCTATGCGTCGATTTTTATGTCCTTGACCAGCTTTCCATGGAAATGCTTTGAAATGACTCAATCGAAAAGTACAATAATTCAAACGTTATGTCCAATTAAACTGGAATTTAGAACGCCAAGCATTTCAAAAAAAAAAAAAACGCAGCAAAAAGGTCGCCGGTTGGTTTTCCAGGTGAGTGGTTTTCAAGGGAAAATTTTAGAAAAAAATTAAAAAAAAATAATAAAAATATGTTGTTGACCTAGTAAGAACATCTTTCTGCAGGAAATATAAGACATATTTATACATTAAAAAAGGTCTCTTCTCCATAAGACCCAGTTCACACGCACTAAGTTTGCCAGAAAGAAATATGGGTTTTTGTTCAAATTGCGAAAAAAGTGGTGCAATATAGTCAGGAATAAAGCCTTACGTTCCGCAGCAATAAAAAACTTTCTCAATCTAGACTAAGGTGGGAGCATGGTAGAATGAAGAAGGTAAGGTCATGCAATCATATGTTCACAATTTTTTTAAAATTTTTCATTTGACAACATTTCATTGTCAAAATGTATGGATTCAGAATAGATTTGGGAACCTGTTTTCTATGCAGTGAAATTTGAAAAGGTAAATTACAGAAAATTCAGAGATGGATATGCTTATTTGAAATGACTTTACCTTCTTAATTTTACAATGGGTGAGAGGATGAATAAAGGGTAGAGTTTGAAAATCTATTTCATTTCACTGAACGCACCATCTTGTTCTGTTCCATTTGAATGAACTAGTTCCATCTATTCATAGTTCACACTTCAATCGTTTGATTCAGAATAATTCACCGAGCCATATTTGCTAGATAAGTGTGAACCATGGTAGAAGAATACACGCGGACGCATCGACACAGCTGATGGGCCAAACCAATTTTGGAATTGAAAATATTGAATGAAAACTTTATAAAAATTTACATCCTAAAAAGTAGAAAAATAATTTGAAAATAAAAAAGGCAAAACTATCTGCTAGTAAAGTTTGGTAGAACTTGTGGAAGGACTCGTTCAGAATCAAAGATAATAAAAAGTGACGTAACAAAAAACGATTTTTGTTTTTAAAGACCTAAAACATATTTCAATTCATGCGGCCTTAAATAGTGTCTGGCCATGGTAGAAGAATACAGGTAGATACAACAAAGCTTGGGAACATTGATTTGTCAAAAAATTTTAATGACTTTTCAAATTTAAGTACTAGATTTATATGTTTTCATATTCGACGTCATTCGGAGGTTATTATAATTCGGGGTTTTCAACAATTTTTACAAATTTAAATAATTTTTCATTCAACATTTTCAATTCCAAAATTGGTTTGGCAGTTCATTGTCCCACAGCTTTGTCGATGCAACTACATATATTCTTCTACTATGGGCCGATTCTAAGTTCTGTGCATTAGAATGAACAAGATTGACAGGCCTAGTTTATACGCTCTTAATAAAGAATCACTCAATGGAACTAGTTCATTCGTGAACTATACAACCCAAATAATGCACAATGAAAAGGTACTGAATTTTCTGCAACTAATTATGTAGATGTTCGCAGTGGATATAAAATAAATTCGGTCTTAAGAAGATCTATTTATGTATGGTAGGAATCTGTAGTAAATTTCTCTAACTCTTTTTTGAGTTACCAACAAATATCGGTACGTTTACATTGTACTGAATATATGTTGCCTAGTAAATTAAGCTTATTTAAGCAAAAAGTCTTAAGGTGTGGGTACATAAGCAGCTTAAAGTCTTCACAAGGCATATTTTGTGGCACACCATAAAGGGATGCAAGAGCTTTAAAATTGGCATTAATATGCCTAGCCAGGATGCCAAGCTGCTTTTACTTACACACCTTAATAATCAACCTTTGGTTTCAACTATACATCTCTACACATTCACCCGAATTTTGCATAAGGCTAAAACAGGTTAAAGCTTAAATCGTGACTTCGGCGTGAAAATACAACACTGTAACTGTCACATGTAACTGACAACAGTTTTGCATTTCCACGTTTCGTTCAGCCAAAATGGCAAAATTCGCGGCGAAATCACGATTTAAGCATTGCTTTATTTAAACATTTAGATACTTCAAAAAATATCAGATTTATATGGAAATAGTTGTTCCCCCTCCCAACAGCTAAGCGCATTTTTAGGTGAGAATACATAAAACGTTTTATTGACTGGCTTAAGTCATAGACTGGCTTCTTCGGAAAATAACAAAGGAGCATAGGGCCAAAATCGAACCAAATGAAATGTGAAAGTGCCCCTGACAACATCAGAAAGGATACCGGTCTACGGTATCAGAGTGGGCATCATAGCCAAATGACTCCAGTTTGAGTCCCATGTGATCAGTGTCTTCATTCCTGTTCTATGAAAATGTGAAATGAAAAATATTTTCCTTCTAAATACTATCATTTGAACCAGGAACCAGGTTTAGTTCCCTCTATTACAAACCACAATTAATTTAATTGTGAGGGTGCTCCTGACAACCAAAAATACTTCGATTTGGATATTATAACCAAATTAGTTTCAGTTTGAGTCCTATGTGATTAGGGTTTGCATTCCTGTTTTAGGAGAATGTGAAATTAAAAACTATTTTAGTTATACTTTAATTTGAACCAGGAACCAGGTCTAGTTCCCCTTTTTTTCATTTGACATGTCTTGCCTTTAAAAATGTTTTTTAGTTCACTTTTTTTCCATAAAACAAGAATTGAGCCCCGGTAGACTAAGAACGCTTCACGCATGAGTTCGCTACACGTTCGAGTCCTATGTGATCAGGGTTTGCATTATTGTTCTATGAAAATGTGAAATTAAAAACTATTTTCTTTATAAATACTTTAATTTGAACCAGGAACCAGGTCTAGTTCCCTTTTTTTTCATTTGACATGTCTTGTCTTTAAAAATGTTTTTTAGTTAACTTTTTTCCCTAAAACAAGAATTGAGCCCTAATAGGCTGAGAACGCTTTACGTATGGGTTCCTTTTAGTTCTTAAAAAGCCACATTTAAAAAAAAAAACCGCTTTCCTGTCTCCCATTATCTGTGTAACTTAAAACCATTCTGACTAGGTCAACGTTGTGTGCTGCTAAACTGGGTTATTAGCAACAATTATTTGCTTACACACTTTTCTTCTCGCTGGCCTTGTGTTTTGTAGGTTATGTATTAAGAAATAACAACAATAACAAGAAAACATATTTACCATTGAAATTTTTTGGCGCACAATTTAAGGTTATGTTTTCGCCCTCATGCGAATAATAGACAACATTTAATTTATTTTCAAAATATGGTTTTGATGCCATTGTTGGGGTCACATCGCCGTTGGTGGGCTCAGGCTCAGTTTCTTCGCTGTAATCGAATTCGTTGGAGGCAACATCCTGTTTACCCTTTTGTTGTTGTTGATTTTCCACAGCATCAATGCCTGCAAGGAGAAAGAGAAAAAAGAATAAAAACACAATGAATACATGAATGGAATCAGAGAGGGAGAGAGAGGGTTACAAAGGGAGAGCTAGAGAGAGAGTTATGAATTTAAGAGATAAGAAATATAACAACGGTTAGGTCTTAGCATACAAAGAAAAAGGATTTGGGTTTTCTTTTGCACAAATTTTCTTGCTAAGTCAGGCAAAAAAAAAACGGACAACAAAAATGATCACAACAAAAAAATAAAACGTCTTCTAAGGAGAATGACATATGAGAAGCAGCAAAAATATTAATCCATATTTTGAATTGGTGTGAGTGAGTGTGTGTAGATGACGAAGATATTCGTATGACAGTGAGATGGGTGCATTGCCACACACAACAACAATAACAACAGCAACAACACCACCAAAATGAGGAATTTAAGGAAATTCATGCTGATGCTGACTAAGAAGGCGGTTATGCACCGAATTTTGATGCTGATGATATTCCAAACAAATGAATGCAATTTTTTTACTCTGGCTGCAGTTGTTGTTGCTGTTGCTCGATTCTGTTATTCCAATTTTTCTGTTTAAAAAAAAAATACACAAAATCTCACACATATCCCAGCCATCCAAAACATTCATCGTCCATATGGATGAACCTGGGTATTGGAATCGAGAAGAAAAAAAAAAACATATATCCACCCATACTTATGTGCACATGTAGTGTATACCTAGATATGTATGTACACATGTATGTGGGTACGTGCGTGCTGGTATTCTTAATACAATTTCTTCTTCTTCTACTTCTGCGGCCTCATCGAATATTGCACACGCATTGTATAACTGTTGGATGTTGGCCCGGTTTGTCTGACGGACTGGCAGACAGACATTACGTATCGTCATCAGCGCCGGGCGGCCGTCCCCTTCGTCAATGGGTGATTGTGTCGAAAACAAATCCAACAATATTAGGGTGGACAGACACCAAACGTCATGTCTGTCCATCAGCAAATGTGTGTGTGTGTGCGTGTGAATGAATTTGGCTCCGTCAGTTAGTATACATTTTCTTGCCGCGATGATGTCAGAGCATAAAGTCAGAATGTAGTTTTCCAATATTTAAATGTTCATGCATTCCAACCAAAATAAAGTAAAAACAAAAAAAAAAAAAAAACAACGACAAACGTCGGCCAAATGTACAAAAATATTGTTTGTTGTTGTAGTGACTTGTCTTCATGCCGAACAAAAATAACAACAACAACATTGACACATGACCGTATTGGCAACAATGTTTTCAAGGGCCCTAACAAAAAGAGAACTGGCCATAAAATTGAAGCACAAAGAAATGAACGTCTACAAAAGTAAACCATTAGACCTTTGACCTTTATAAAAAGTAGTTTTATTTCGAAATGCAGGGCATTCTATGTGTATTCTTTTTTCTATACAAGAAGTATACCAAAAGGCCTTTAGCGAATAATGACGGAATGAAGTGTCAAAAAAAAAAAAACAAAAAAAAAAAGAGTTTCCAATTTGTTCTCCGGTGAATTCTATAAAAATTTGAAAAATATAAAAAACAAGTAAAAAAGCTGTAAGTTCGAATATCCTCCAACAATTTGGCAATTCTCACAAACAATAAATCCGTTGAAAATTCTGTTGAAATCTTAAAAATACCGAATGTAGCTGTTATATTAGGGTCTATACGACGACATGGACCTGCATAAGTAATTTTACGAATTCCGAACTTCAAATACCAAATTTGAAACAATTCCGGTGAAAAATGTCGCTAAAATCATTAAAATACGGATTATGTGGGGGTACCGTTATATAGGGGCTCTACGAAGACGTGGACCGGCACAGACAATTTTCTGTCTTAGGCCTTAGCATCCATTACGAACTTCAAATACCAAATTTGAAACAATTCGGTGATAATGTCGCCAAAAACATCAAAATACCGAATATTGGGAGGTACCGTTATATGGGAGCTATACGAAGACGTGAACCTGCACAGACAATCTTCTGTCATAGGCTGTAGCATCCATTACGAACATCAAATACCAAATTTGAAACAATTCCGGTGAATAATGTCGCTAAAATGATCAAAATATAGAATATCGAGAGGTACCGTTAAATGGGGGCAATACGAAGACGTAAACCAGCACAGACAATTTTCTGTATTAGGCTGTAGTATCCATTTCGAACTTCAAATACCAAATATGAAATAATTACGGTGAATAATGTCGCTAAAATCATCAAAATATTGAATATCGGAAGGTACCGTTATATGGGGGCTATACCAAAACGTAGACCTACATGGCCCATTTTCAATACCAAAAGTCCGGCAGACATAACATACATTTGGGTAAAATTTTATCAATCTACTTCAATTCGTTCGGAAGCTATCGTGATTCCCACAGACGGACGGACATCGCAAAATCGAAATAGAATTTTATGCTGATCAAGAATATACATACTTTGTGGGGTCTAAAATGTTTATTTCGAGGTGTTACAAACGGAATGACAAACTTATTATACCCTTCATACTATGGTAGAGGGTATAAAAATAGAAGTTTATGGTGTCGGTGGTATTATGGTTTAAGGACGATGGTTATACTTCAGCAGAAAATTAAAGCACAGTATGAAAACTATTGAGGTATAGGAGGTCCATTTCAAATAAGATCATCAGCTGATTTTGTTTACAACATTTTGAAGAGTAATTCAGTATTGCAACCCATGGTAGAAGAATATAGGTAGATGCAACAACGATTGGGAACATTAATATGTCAACAATTATAAAGTGTTTTGTCAAAAATAAGTAGATCTTTATGTATTCTTATACGACGCAAATCGGAGGTTGTATGGATATGTATTTTTCAAAAATGTCAACAAATTTCAATAACTTTTCATTTAAGATTTTCAATTCCAAATTCGGTTTCACAGTTCATTGTATTCTTCTACCATGATTGCCATCTTAAGGTAAGTAGCAATGTCAAAGTTTGTTTACATTTTGTTTATATTAGAGTTCAATAGTTCACGAAGGAACTAGTTCGATTGAACGATTAATTGAAAAGAGCCTGTGAACTAGGTCAGTGATCGAACAATGACCAATCTAGTTTAGCATTTTATTTAATTATAACCGTTCTCTGTGCTAAGAGATGTTTTAGATACAACCATGATAGAAGAATACAGGTAGATGCATTAATGCTTTGGAACATTGATATATCAATTTTCAATTTTTAAAATATTTTTTTTTTCAAAAACTAGTGGATTTTTATAACTTTTCTTATACGACACCAATCGGAAATTGTTATGATATGCCTTTTTCAACAAATTTTACACATTTAAATAATTTTTCATTCAAAATTGGTTTGACAATTCATTGTCCCTACAGCTGTGTAATGCTTTAGAATTGTACAATTTGGTTCATTGTACAGAGAACTCGGAACTAGTTACATTAAATGATTGACTGAAAAGAGCCTATAAGCTAGGATCTAGTTCATTGAACTAAGAAGGTCAGTAATTTAATTATTACCAATCTGTTTAAGAATTTCATGTACTTAAAAAAGAGACGCCGTCCTCAAAATTACCCAATATAAAATTTTAAAAGAGAACGTGCCTGTGTCTTCATTTTGCCTATAAGTAAAAATGTTTAAAAAGAGTGCAATATAGTACCATTTTGCGGGTCCCGGAACAGAACAGAACATATTTGAACCTTACCATATATTTTAGCAAAATTTTGACATTTACACGCATCGTCTTTCAAAAGTATATCTCGCTGATGCGGCATAAAGTTTTGCATTTACATACAGCGTCTAAATCTTTTAATGACTTCAAATAAGTTTAAGAGTGAAATGTTGACGTCTTTCAAATTTATCCATCTGATGCGGCATAAAGCTTTGCATTCACATACAGCGTCTATATCTTTCAATTGTCAATTTCATGTCATATATATGAAATAAATCCTTTATAAAAGAGGAAGTTCTAATTTAAACATACAATAAAGGCAAGTTTAAACACCATGTTCGAGTCATATATGAAGTGACTTTTTTTAACATCTATCTATCGTATCATTATAACATATTTGAAAACTATAGTGTGTTGTTGAAACTAATAGTGTGTTTTTGCTTTCTATAATAGTAGATTCACACATTATGCGATTTAGTTAATCCACTTGATTTAAATTGACAATTCCATTGCATATACGAGCACATCAAATAAATCTCTTATAAAAGAGGTCTAACCGGCAGGAAATTCTAATGTAAAGATACAATAAAGGCTAGTTTACACGTTATGTTGGAGTAATATTTCCAACATTTAACTTTAGTATTTTTTTACCATATTCGTAGATAATACTCACAATTTTAAAACGAAGAGTAGGTTTACATTAAAATCTTTTTTACCAGGTTAACTTATTTTATGTGGTTATGCTTGTCGTATAAAACCATTAGGTTTATTAAATCCAATCAAGTGTAAACGCATGATGTTTTAATCAATATGTTTACATTTTTCCTCCAAAATGACACCTTCGACGACATTTCATTTTTGAAATGTGTATTTTTAAATCGAATTCGTCTGATAATTTGAACCAATGATCAAACCATGGTAAAATTATGAAGGTAAAGCCGTTTCAAATAAGCATATCCGTCTCTGCATTTTCTGTAATTTACCTTGTTAAATTTCACTGAATAAAAAGAGAGGTTCTCATCTCTCAATATATTTATAAATAAAAATTTTGACAATGATGTGTTGTCAAACGAGTAATTTTGAAAGCAATTGTGAACATATGATTGCATGACTTCACCTCTTTTAATTCTACCATGTATCAAACTATATAGACCTACTAAAGACTTTACGTCAGATGAAATCGAAAGAAAACACAAAACTTTGCATTCGCATACAGCCTCTAATCAACAATAATGGAAGTACATCCAGTAAAGTGTAAACGTACCATAAACATGATTGATGTTGTAATATAAGTTACTATCATGGTAAAAATATATAAGTAGACGCATCGACACAGCTGCTGGTA